GGAACCCTTAGTACGCCAACCAAATTCGATATGGTGGTTGAGACAGTTTTAACTAGTGGATTTCACCGTCGAGATATATGATTTTAATGCTTTTGTATGTGTATGGTCTAATATGTTTCGGCATTGAATGTTTGCCATTTATATGTTGTGCTCCGCCCTGAGTCCCCTTCGGGGTGAGAAGGACGGAATATAAATGCTTTAAATAAATAAATAAATAAATAAATAAATAAATAAATAAATAAATAAATATTAGGGTACGAAACCAAAGAGTAAGATCTACCTGTATGTGGTGTGTGTGTAGACCTTGGGAGTACGTGGGCTTTGAGATGATGCCTTCTCGTTTTCTCACATCTCCAGGTGACGATAATGGGAAGAAAGCCAACAACCCCAACCACTGTAACTGCATCATAGACCAAATCTTCACAGGTGGACTGCAGTCTGACGTCACTTGCCAAGTCTGCCAGTAAGTTAACATTCCATTTCCAGTTTCAGGCTTTTTGAAGACCAAATTCTGTTTTCAAAGCACAGAATTCTTCACTTGACTTTGAGATGCACCAAGGCTACAAAACACCATCCCAATAGATCTTTCCCAACCAAAAGGTTGGCAGTTCGAGCCTGGTTCAGGGTGAGCACCCGACCTTTGGCCATGCTTTCTGTCCACCTAAGCAGTTCGAAAACAGCTGTGATCTGTGAATAGAGAAATTAGGCACCGCTTAAGCAGGGTGTATTTTGCAGCAGAAGTTGCTCCAGATCGTACCCTGAACTGTCCTCTACACAAAACTACCACCCTACATGTTTTGAAATATGAAAAACCTTTGTTGTGTTTGCAACGTGAGTGGCGAAAACCCCAATAAATTTGCAAATTGCCTGCAATTCTCTCCTCTTTGAGCATGCTCCACGAAATCAATGGCTCACAACCTGGTTTGGACCAGAGTGTTTTCTATCACCTGAGCACCCTCTACAGGTGAAATACCAGCTCCCCCCGCCTTTTATTTTATATTTCAGGAGGAAATACAGTCACGAAAGGGTTTTCTGTGCTAGAATTGTCTTGTGAAATTATATTATGCATTCAAATAGCAGTCAAGATTGCTCCCACCCCCAACTTCATATAGTAATGCTCCCTTTAGATGGGTCTCTGCGCCCTCCGCCCTGCAATGTTGCTTTGTAATTGAGCGGTGTATCCCCCCCCCCTTCTCTTTTTCTCCCTAGCGGTGTTTCCACAACGATAGATCCGTTCTGGGACATCAGTTTGGATTTGCCCGGTTCCTCCACCCCGTTTTGGCCTCTGAGCCCCGGCAGCGACGGCAGCGTGGTCAATGGGGAGAGCCACGTGACGGGAACCACCACCCTCACAGACTGCTTGCGAAGGTACAAACCGTGGCAGACGGATGAGCGGGCCTTTGGAAGGGGAATGGCTTGAACTCCCCTCCTTTTGTCTGCAGACAAGCAGTTTGCAGGCAACCCGCCAAGGAGCAGAACGGCACCTCCTCTGCATTGTAACTGCTGAATCATCTTGCAGAGGAGTTGAGTCCACTTGCAGGGAAGCAGGCCCAGGCAAACATTGAGCATGTTGTAGACATTGATGAAAGCCCGGAGGGAAACTAAGACAAGTGTCTCCACCTGATGACCGGTTTAAACATTGATTTATTTATTTGTCGTGTCAGGA